AAGCAATTTGCTGATCGCATTCTTAGTGAGGTCGCTCACCCTCTCCACTCTGAAATAACGGCTGCGAAGTCTTTCCTTACTATGCGCCGAAGCTTCCGTCATATTTCTTGCCGTACATCGGCATATCAGCACTCCCATTCCCACTCCCATTCCTAGCACGCTACCTCACGTGTGAAGAAACGGAAATTGAGTAGTTGAAAGCCGACCTGTCTCCATAACAGACGTGGATATCATGTAAACCTTTAGACTTTGAGAATTCTATGACATTTTACCTAACTTTATCACTTGCTTTCAGTAAATGGAACTGAAAATTTTGGATATTTACCTTGAAAATAAAGCATACGCCTCCCTCTTTCTCTCTGCTGGCCTCCACATGCCGGGAAAATCACCCAGAGGTTAAAAAAACCATCTTCCTCACCTACCGCATGTGTGTCTACAGCAAAAAGTAGCGAAGTTTAGAGGCCTGTAGGAAGCTACGAAGGTTGTCTCACGGGGCTGGTGACATACCATCTCTTACTTATACAGGCTTCCTTCTAGGACCAAAATAACAGTGGATGTGCTATCGTATGAAATGTCCGCCAAAATTTCAAAAAGGTGTTTTCGATGAGAAAATCTTACTGAAGAAGGCCTTTCTATCTCATGAATTTTTAGACAAAAGATCTAAATGTGTTCTCGGCGAGCAAAGATTCCTTTGACAGGGTTAAAATATTGATTATCATGCAGCATAATCTCGTGATAGGTCAGTCACGTCGGGAGGCTGGCATTCGCTGATTGGCCGCTGAATATAAAAATCCTGCTTTATAAAATTGACCACTCAAATACGATGAATGTTCCCTATTGATTTACGATTCCTTTATAAACCCAGCTATATTTTATGGAAAGTATGCGCAAAAGTATTATTTCTTGTACTGGTGTAGTAGAAAATTGCGTCTTTAAAATTTATGAATGAGGAAAGGGCAGTTCTCAGTTGTAAAACGTTTCTAATTATGCGATATTTAAGGTCCCCAAAATGCCTCTTCCATAAAGGGCCGCACCTGTACATTTCTTAACGATGCTTGTAAAGTATTCACCACTGTCTGCTTGCACTGCAAATTTATATGTACTCTTTATGATTGCTTCTTAATAGTGAATATAAATTTATCAGTCCCCTTATATGGTCAATATATAACCTGCGGTTTGGAAGTCTTGAATGCAAATGTAAGAGCAGGTCGGGTTCAAACTATTATGGAATTGAAAAAAAAACGTTTTTGAAAACCGAAAGATATAATTTCTTCAAGAATAACTTTTGAAGAAGACCTGAGTAGCAACCGAATGAGCTTAAAATATTATTTTTGAACACCTTTTTTTCGTAAAGTATACGTGAATTTATAATGGCATCTAAAATTAATGAGAAAAATGCACGCTAGTTAAGTAGCCATCTTTACCGACCGTAGTTTTCTTCAGGCTGCTGGAAAGTTCATTTGAAAAAGGACACTCTTTAGTGGCTAAAACCTTTTGGGTTTAAGCTGAGCGATGATCTGTATTACAACCCCAAAGAACTAATTACGCTGTGCGCACAAAGTGTCCAGTATCTCCGCGACGACCAGCTGTACATGCGGATAGACGATGCGGCGCTGGGTTCACCACTCGCGCTCTTTCTCGCAAATGTTTTCCTGGGCAAGATCAAGAAAACAGATCTAAAGGACATTGGCAATGACCTCGACTTTTACAGTCAGTACATGAATAACATCTCTTGCCTGATAGGTCATAACACCGCCACCAAGACCGCGGGTCGGATGTTTAACAGTGCACATTCCTCGCTCAAGTATTTTCAAGAGTCTGAGACGGATAATGAAGTCGCGTTCCTCGATGTCCTTCTATACAGGCAAGAGGATGGGTCCTTCCAGCGTAGGATATACAGAAAGAAACCCTAGACGGTATGATACATTAAATTTCCCATTTCTGTTCCACCAAATATCAAAGGAAAGTTTTGTTAAGACCTGCTCCTGGTACTTCTAATTAACACGAACGCCGAACCAAAGAGTCCGTACGAGAGAGACAGAGAAAAGACCAATCGGCCAGAGTGAGGGTGCGTTTACTCAGACAAGCACTTTAAGCAAGTCAGCACAAGTCTTTGAGGG